GCGTTTTGCGTGTCTGTGTGCAGACTTACAATAGGTGCGTTCGACTACATGCAGCGCTGCGCAGACTGATCGGCGGCTGACTTGAAGCAGTGCATGCCTGTTAGAAATTGTCCGACTTTAACCGGCGCTGACGCCACTGTCACGTGTGGCATCAAATTATCGGGATAGCCTTTCGAGAGCAGCCAGGTATTCTGACAAATAATGCTACCAACACCGTATTTATCCTACTGTAAGGGTAGGTTTAGGGTTGGGGCAGGTGTACATGTTAATAAAGTCTCACACTTTATTAATATCATGCTGGAAGCAAAATCTGATAGGTAGCACTTTTCGAATTATGCTACCATCTGTTTTAATGGGAGGTAGCAAAGAACACCGGCTAACTCAGCTGTCACAGCTTTTTCAGAGGGACTGCAGGAATGCTGATGACGACACAGCTGTTTCACGATTGGCCAGATTCACCACATGACGACAATGACGTGTTTCTAACATCTTCAATACTGCGTTTTTAGAACGGTAAAAGCTTTTTTTACTGTAGTAGCAATGTTATATTGAGTCACGTTTATATAATTTTTTTTTTAAAATAAAACACTGATAAAAGCATAATGTATACCCCCACTTTATTGGTATTTAAAAAGCACGTTTATGTTGAACTTTATTCTTTAACAGGTGGCGCTGTATCAAGCAGTATATAAAAAGTGTTTCTGTTGCTCATGAAAACGTTTCTGAAACGGCTGTGTATTTGACAAATATTGCATGTTATTCACTTAATCTGTGATCGAGTATGCAAACACCGTGAGAGCGTCACTACCTGGAGCAAAAAGTGTCCGACTTGACATCTCCGCTTTCAATTCCGCCCCCGACTGCAAGCGGCTGCTGTCGCCGATTGGTCTGCGCAGCGCTGCATGAAGTCGAACACGCCTATTGGGGCCCTTTATTTAGTCACGAGGCATTAAACGTAGGCGATAATCGCGCATGATATTCGTCCCGGTGTGCACAAGCCTTAACACTATGATTGAGTCATTTGATTCCTTTTACTGGAAAGGATTTGATTTATTTAGAAACGAAATGGGCTACCAAAATCCTGTCTCTGAAGTGACTGTCTTTATGAGTTAGTTATTGAACTATTCACTCAACCAATTCGTTCAAGCACCTTCATTAATTCAGGGAAGAAAAATCAATAGTGTTTCTCGGAGATGATTGCAATGGTTGATTTGGAACTATTTTTTTGACGGAGCAAAAATAGACAAAACAGTCTCAAATTGAAGTTACTCTATATTAACCACTTATTAAACTGCTGTATAAAATATGGAGCATTGCATGCAATGTGGAAAAAAATTTTTTTTATGGACGCAAACTAAGAATGCCACATTTTACTAATTCATTCTCTCATTTTAGGTCAATAGTGGCCACACTGTATAGTTCCCTTGTTTTAATTGAGTGAAATTTGGCCATGCTTTAACTAAAACAAATTAATAAGATAAGGGAGCAAATTCTTAATATGTGGCCATATCTTGTTGTTTTTTTTTGTCATGCAGGGCTCTGTTCAAAAGCAGCACTCACTCGCAATTATGCAGTTGATCTAAATATCAGCACAACTGTGGTAACTGTGCTCCTGTGATTTTACTTTAATATTTAAAAAAATTATAATTTTTTTTTTCCTCCAAGGCTCCATGATCTTTTGGCCCACAATGACATCCCTCCCTGGGAACTGGTGGGTGTAAAGCGGAAATCTGCAGAGATCTTCCGCTGTCAATCATGTGAATAATGCAATAATTGCATCGGACAGCTGGTCTGCTCTTTTAAGCATTAAAACTATGAAATCATGCAGATTAGATGTCATTAATGAAATTCATCAAAACATATGTTTACATGAGAAGGGCCTGAACGTTGGCTTTGTTTGGGTTCCTGCTCATGTAGGAGTTGAGGAAAATGAAGCTGTTCATAAGCTGGCTAAATTGTCACTGAAAAGACAAACTGTGGATTTAAATGTCCCATTAAGTAGAACTGAGGGAAAGAGTATTATGAGATCTCGAATGACGGATAAATGGCAACAATACTGGGATATAAACGATACGGGTCGACATCTTTACAATATTCAGGAAAAAGTCGGTGTTGGCAGAATGAGGGGCAGAAACAGAAAAGAAGAGGTTTTGTTCACTCGGCTTAGAATAGGACATACTGGACTGAATCTGACCATATTCAAAATAGGCAAACATCCAACAGGTTTGTGTGAAAATTGTGAGGTAACGGAATCAGTGTTACATGTGCTATTGGAATGTAGGAAATATGAGGAGGAAAGAAGGGAAATGTTTCAAATGCTAAAGAAAGACATTGTGAATGTTAATGTTCAGGAGCTTTTAGAAGGAAGTACTTGGAATGTGGTCAAACATCTCATGATTTACCTAAAATACAGGATTGATGGAAAGAATATAATTAGTTCCCTCGTTTGTCATATACTGCTCCACACTCCAGTCTGGTGTGTGGCAATAATGCACCTTTAAAATGGGTTGTCAGCCACCACCAATCTAAAGAAGAATAAGAAAACCCCAAGTCCGAAATCGCATACTGCTTAGTAGGTACTACATTTGAATTTGAACGTACTACTCGACCGTTAAAACAGTACGTTCTATATAGTATGAATGCGAGTAGTATGACTGGAATTCGGATGTACTACATCCGCCATGTTGACATTGTCACGTGACATGCGTCTCCACAATAGCTTAAAGAGCCCTCACTACTGCGAACATCAGCAATGTTTCACGTAATTCTTACCACTTTCATCGGCGATTAAACATCTTTTTACAGCCGATTCACGAAATCATCTCATCGACTTACAATGTTTAAACCTTCAATAAGTCAGCCGTTCACTTAGATCATGTTAAACAAGTGCAATTTAACCACAGTGAACAACGTTTTTCCCTGAGGTACTTACACTTGAAGAGAGCCGCGTCGCCGCCTTCCGCCGTTCTCGAATATGGCGCCTCCTCTCGCGTGGCCTCATGGGATAGTAAAGTGTCCATCGTATGCATGCTACGGAATTCGGGCGGAAGTAGTAGGTCATCCGGGTACTTCTCGCCTACTGTTTTTCGAATACTATGAATTCGGACGTACTACTCAGAAAATAAAAAATAAATCAATCAAATAACCTTTAGTTTGACCAAAGGAGTATTACACAAGGATACAATTATTTTATATACTTCATTATGTGATCTTCAAATTCTATTTATTAAACCTATTGCTTTCAAATAATTAATAATTGCATTATAGACTTTATACTGTGCTGAAGCATACTCAAGTATTGTCTTAATTGTAATTCTTTCAATATTCAACAAACTAACAAACTTAATTAATCGCATTCTTTCTCTTTCATATGCTTCACAATGCAATAGGATATGTTCCACAGTCTCTGGTATACTGGTATACCAGCAATTACCTGATTCATGTTTACCAATAATAAATAATGATTGATTAAGAGCTGTGTGACCAATATGGAGTCTAGATATTATTGTGTCCTCCTTCCTACTTCCAAAGTTTTTTCTTCCATTTCCAACTTGTTTTTGAATGTTGTATAGATGCCGACCCTTTATGTCCCTATCCCACATCTTTTGCCATTTCCTAATCATAGCCCCTTTGATTATTCCTTTCATTTCTGCTTTACTAAGTGATATATTTATATCTATATCGGTTTGTTTTAATGCCTTCTTGGCCATTTGATCAGCTTCCTCATTTCCCTCTATCCCAACATGTGCCGGTACCCATAAAACTGAAATACTTAATCTATATTGGTGAATTTTGAACATGCTTTGTAGGATATCATATAATATGTCTTGTCTAGATGTAGACTTGCCACTTAATAAACTTATTAAGACAGAATAAGAGTCTGAGCAAATAACTGTTCTTAATGGCTGTATTTCCTCGACCCAATTAAGAGCTATCAGAATGGCTATCATTTCTGCTGAATAAACTGATAAATGATTACTTGTCCTTTTTGCAATTTTAATCTTAAAATTAGGAATGCATATAGAAACTGCCGTATTTCCTGAAACAGGATCTTTGGATCCATCTGTAAATATTTTAATTTCCTGACTATAATTTTGATCCATGTATATTTGTGCAATCTCATTCTTGGAAACATAACCCTTTTTATTATTAATTTCTTCCAAAATCTGAAGGTCTACTATAGGTATTGGAAATAACCACGGAGGTATTATGGGAATTTCCACTGTAGGACTTACATCTATTCTTGTCAATCCAATATCCTCAGCCTCTTTTTTTACAGTCCATCCAAAACATGTATTATTTGAGTTATGTTCCCAACACTCCATCAATATCTTTTTAGCTGGATGGGTTTCAATGTGTCGTATTTCCCAGCTGCCCTAATTATGATCCTTATCCTTTCCGTTCTGCTCTCTGATTGTGCTGAACAGTTTATTACTTCTGCCATAAATGCAACAAATTTGACTTTATCCGCTATTATATGCTTCTCATAAATTCTGCATTCCTCCAAGCACTTACTCGATAACTCTGTTGGTCGCCCTTGTTCTACGCCTCCTCTCCCGTGGCCTCATGGGATAATAAAGTGTCCGTCGTATGCATGCTACGGAATTCGGGCGGAAGTAGTAGGTCATCCGGGTACTTCTAGCCTACTGTTTTTCGAATACTATGAATTCGGACATACTACTCGCCTCGCATACTGTTTTTCGCCTACTATATAGTATGGAAGTATGCGATTTCGGACACAGCTTTAAAACAGGGGATTATAGTACGGAATCATGTCATTGTTTTTTTTTTGTCACCATGATTAAATCGACTCATATAAAAGAATATAGTCTTTTTGATAGTTTTTTATTTATTTGTTTGTTTTGTTTTAATTTGCTAGTTTATTTATTTTGTTTTGATTGTTTTTTTTTTATGGTTTATTTTGTCCTACAAGCAAAATCCTGATCCATACTTAATTCCAGTCGGTGGCGGTAATGCACCAGTCAGTTAGGTTGCCAACCGCCAGTAAACACCAAAAAAGAAGAAGAAGAAGAAGCTCTTCCGCTGTCTCCCCTACTGAGCTCTCGCTGAACAGTGAGTGACCTTCTCCGTGTGGTCCAGTGCACTTATATACTAGAGGCGAGTACGTTTTCTTATAATAAATCGATATGTTTTCAGTTGGCATATTTTAATTTAGCACTGACCATTTCAAGAAGATTCCCTGTCGTTTAAAACATTACCGTATCTGTTTCGGTTATTGGACCATATAAGGCCTTGCCGAGCGCCTTACATGAGTCAACATTGGTTAATAATGGCTCAAGCTTGACACTTGAATGGCACGCATGAACCGCGGAATGTTTTTCATAATCTCTACGATAATTTTATTTCTGTATTAGACGGTGAAAAGAGCTGCTGTTCTTCAAGTGACGCGTTATCTTTAAACTGAACTGAGCTTGGCATGAACTCGCTATATTGACAGTGAAATAGATTGGAGTGTTTTAGCCTCTATCTTAATGACTCCGTATATTAAAGTCTAATAGTGTTCATTTTTCTCGAGCTGGTCTATGAATATATGATTAATGTCCTTGAAAGTGCTGTTTGAGTCGTGTTACTCTGTGGGTCATTCTTATAACGTGGCTCATAGCATTTGCACGTTCAAACATATGTATGGTAATGTTACATGTTTCTGAAGCCTTTTAGACAAATGTTCATGCATCCTTGTTTTGATCACTAGATGGCAGGTGGTGCATTGGCTGGCTGGTGGACTAAGGTGGCCCCCTACTACACCAAAGCATACCAGGAGATGTGGGTTGGTGTAGGAATCATGACTTTCATGTACTACAAACTTTCATATGGAGGTGAGAGGTCAAGTTTGTTGAAGAGCTCTTTAGTAGTGTGCATACTGTCAAAATGTAATAAACCCTTCTTTATTTAGTGGTTCATATTATAACAATGTACTTCGTAAACATTGTTCTTGTCGTTAAATTATTAATTTGTATGTTATCTTATGTATCTTCTAAGCATAGCCCATGTTCATAGACAGTTTTGTTACACAATATTTTTAAGAAACTTCTAGTGTCCTTTTCAAGGTGACAGACTTGACTTTAAGAGCTTGCTAATGCTCTTATTAAATGTTAACAATAATATTGCTGTTTTGCAGGAAAGAAGAAAGCAGTGCAGTCAAGTAAGTATAAGCAGATTTTTTTTTTCTAAGGGAAAAATGTCTAGGAGAGAGGCTTTCAAACTTTGCTCCACATGGGAGTTTTAGGTGTTAGGTAGAAAAAAGTTTAGAGAAAACAAAAATGTAAAAATAAGATTCATAAATAATAGATGTGTAAGTATTATAGTGAGAAGTAAAAAATTAAGCAACTAAATATTTTCCAAATAATATTTTACACATTCGTAATAACTTTTCACAGTATATAAATGGGGGTTATGCACAACAAACTTCTGCATGCTGTAAAACGGGTCACGTCACTCCCAGTTCAGGCCTTTTGCATGTGCTTCATTAAATATGGAGCTGTTTTACTCTAGATTGCTTCAAAGCAGATACTGAAGATGATCATAACTGATGTCCATCACATATGCAGATTGATATCTAGGAGTTTGTTTTCTCTTCTTCTCACTAACATTCTGAAGTTAAGATTGAATAAAATGGCAACAATAAAAAACTAGGTAGGTTAACCGATTACCTTAAAAGTCCATAGATATTACCATCAGTTCATAATGCTGTTACACTTTCTCTAACAAGCAGAAGCAATGAGACCTGTTTTTCGGTTTGGTCAGGTGATGTTCGACACATACCCCATTGGGTCTTTATACATGAAAGTATATAGCTGTGTTTTAAATTTTAGGATGGGGTTCTCTTGCACAAGTATGATCATATTTGGAGTATCTTAAAGATTGAAAAACCCTGGTCTAAAGGATAGTTTGAGGCTTTGTTAAAAAAAAATATTTCTGGGATATATAAAAAAATATTCTGTATCTAATGTGACTTTCCTTTTCTCACAGAGCCTGCCCACTGATTGGACCACCGGAGCATCATTCCCCATGTCCTCTCTGTAAATCTTCCCCTGAATATCTGTATTTTGCTTTATGTAACCAATAAACCGCTTGATTTGGATCACACTGTAGACAATTCACTGCTTTCTGGTCTTTCACTCTGTCTTTTGCAGGAAATTCATATCAGCAAACATGAAACTGTTTGGTTGTTAACTTATGGAATAAAACTATTAAAGAAGTCCTGCCAAAAGTGTTTTAATGGCGTTAGTTCTTGAATAGCATGCATTTGTTTGAAGTACACAAATAGTTTTCTTTAAGCTGATGATGTTAACGGTTTTCATTTAATGTTTTAGAAGATTTTGTTTTTGCATTTTAGACATTTTTTGTCATGTTTAATTAATGATATGTAGTTCATGTTATTGATCAGTAGTGGGTGTTGAAGGACTGTCCAGCACATCAGCTTCAAAACAAATGTGAAGTCCTTCAACAGTTTCTCAAACTGTACTTAAAAAATACATTTTGAAATGATACAATACATTATATCTTTATTACTGGAAACTACTGAGTGAAAGTGTCGATTGTCGAACATATGCAATATAAGAGAGTATGTTCCATGTTGCCATGTTGAACACCTGCAAGTAAAGCCATTCCTAAAATAACCATTTACTTTCAAGCTTCCTAACAATTAATGTGACTCATCGACAAACTAAGGGCGTGTTATACCTAGTTGATTTTCGTCACTTACAGATTTTAATGACTACACATACAGTGGAGAAAATATTTATTTGATCCCCTGCTGATTTTGTAAGTTTGCCCACTTACAAAAAAATGAAGGGTCTGTAATTTTTATGGTAGGTTTATTTTAACGGATAGAGACAGAATACCAACCAAAAAATCCAGAAAAAACGCATTATATAAAGGTTAGAAATTGATTTGCATTTCAGTGAGTGAAATAAGTATTTGATACCCAAGCAAAACACGACTTAATACTTTGTGCATAAACCCTTGTTGGCAAGTACAGAGGTAAGACGTTTTTTGTAGTTGGTCACCAGGTTTGCACACATCTCAGGAGGGATTTTGGTCCACTCCTCTTTACAGATCCTCTCTAAATCCTTAAGGTTGCTTGGCTGTTGTTTGGCAACTCGAAGTTTCATATCCCTCCACAGATTTTCTATAGGATTGAGGTCTGGAGACTGGCTAGGCCCCTCCATGACCTTAATGTGCTTCTTCTTGAGCCACTCTTTTGTTGCCTTGGACCCATCCATGCCCCATCTTCAGCGTTCTGGCTGAGGGAAGGAGGTTCTCGTCCAAGATTTTACAGTACATGGCCCCGTTCATTTGCCCCTCAATGCGGTGAAGTCGTCCTGTACCCTTTGAAAAACAGCCCCAAAGCATAATGTTTCGACCTCCGTGCTTGACTGTAGGGATGGTGTTCTTGGGGTTATAGTCAGCATTTCTCTCCCTCCAAACACGGCGAGTCGAGTTAATGCCAAAGAGCTCAATTTTGGTCTCATCTGACCACAGCACTTTCTCGATTGATGGTTGTTTTGTATTTCTTCCATTTCCGAATAATCGCACCAACAGATGTCTCCTTCACACCAAGCTTCTTGCTGATGGTCTTGTAGCCCATTCCAGCCTTGTGCAGATCTACAATCTTGTTTCTGACATCCTTTGACAGCTCTTTGGTCTTGCCCATGGTGACCGATAACTTATATAAGTTGGTTCGACGTTTGACGTTGGATATTAGACAGATATTCATCCACGAAATCAATCAATAAATCTTAGTAGAAGGTCAACTGTGACCTAGAAATCAATAAATTCTTAGTGGCTTATCTGAAAAGCATTAGAACGTAGAACTGAACCCACATCGCAGTTTATTGGTTTTACACCTCCTCGATATGTTGCAACGCATAAAGTATCTAGCAGCAGCGAGCTAGCGCTTAGGCCAGCTAGGGACCGTCTACAACAGGGGTGCCCAAACTCGGTCCTGGAGGGCCAGTGTCCTGCAGAGTTTAGCTCCAACTTGCCTCAACACACCTGCCTTCAAGTTTCTAGTATGCCTAGTGAGAGCTTGATTATCTGGTTCAGGTGTGTTTCATTGGGGTTGGAGCTAAACTCTTCCACCGGCCCTCCAGGACTGAGTTTGGACACCCCTGGTCTACAACGTACACGTAAAGGATAAAACGATTAATGTTTTCCCACCGGAATGTTTTTTTTACAATTAACAAAACAAGAGCAATTTGTGCACCAAGGTCTTTGAAAGATATAAAGACAAACACTCATAATAAGGCTCACTTGAATTTAAATAAGAAATATTGTAAACAAGATACGTGATAGTGGTTATTATTATATTATAATAAATTACACACGCTTTTATTACACAACTTCAACTGGTGTGTCTTGTTACAGATTAGACAAACATTTTGATGGTGGTTTTAGCCACAGAACTATAATTGAGCACATACTATAGAAAATTAAACCAATACATAATTTAGTTTAAAATAAATACAGTCTTCTACCTCAGCTTAAAAGGCCGTGTCTTGTTACAGATTTCTTAAAGAACATTTTGCTGTAGTTTTCATTGTCAAAAGAGATGCAGAAGTCACGCTATTGCCATTCAAAAAACACTTGCGAAACCTTCCAAAGATTCTCCAGTATTACTGCCCCCTAGAGGAAGATACTGCAGTTGTTTTGACTGAGTTTGACATTCAAACCTTTAATACATTAATTTAAAATGCATACAGTTTTCCATCTCAACTTCAAAAGTTGTGTCTTTTTAATTGGGCCTAAAAGAGCATTTCTATGCAGGTTTAACTCATTTGTAAATCAGGATGCATGCTATTGAATTGAATTCAAATCTATTAATAAATTAATTTAAAATGAATAGCCTACATTCTTCTATTTTAACTTCAAAAGGTGTGTCTTGTTTCTGATTCCTAAATGAACATTTAAATTCAGGTTTTACTCTCATACATAATTCAGGACACATGCTATTGAATGGAATTCAAATCTGTTAATAAATGTATTTAAATTATGTAGTTTTCCATAACAACTTCATAAGCTGTGTCTTGTTACTGGTTTCTAGAAGAATATTTTAATGTTGGTTTTAGTCACAGAATTATGAGAGAACACATGCAATTGAAACTGAATAGCCAATTCAATTGTTTATTAAGCTGATTAACCAATGCATCAATTAGTTAAAAATTCAATTTTCGAGCTAATTTTCAAAGGGTCTGTTTTGTGTCTTTAAAAACACTTTAATGTTTTGTAAGAGAGATCACACAAAATGCATGTTATTTTTTAGTACTGTCCTGAGTAAGATATTTTGCATCAAAAATGTTTACATATATTCCACAAGACAAAATAATAGATGAAGTATGTCAGAAGCTTTAGAAGGAACCTATATGTTTCCCATGTTAACTGGAGAGTTTTTCTGAAGAATAATGGACAGTTTAACTGCTCAGGAAAAATAAGGGACTCATGAACAACTATCCAAAAAAAAAGAAGGAATTTTTAAATTAAATTCAATAGCATATGTCCTGATTTACATAATGAGAGTAAAGTCTGAATTGAAACGTTCATTTAGGAATCAGAAACAAGACTTTGAAGTTGAAATAGAAGACCTTATTGATTTTAAAGGGGTCCTATTATGCTTTTTCACTTTTTCAACTTTAGTTAGTCTGTAATGTTGCTGTTTGAGCATAAAAAAGATCTGCAAAGTTACAAAGCTCAAAGTCCAGATATTTTATTTAGCAGAAATCACTTTTCAAATACTAGAACGAACGACTCGTTTGGACTACAACGCATATTTTCCGGGATTTGTGATATCACAAATATCGACGAATGGGACAAGACCTGGTTGAGCTGCACTAGAGAAGGCAACCAGTGTTATCACTATGCCGGAGACGCGCTAGTTTCCCCAAGGCAGACGAACTTAGAGTGGTTACAATCATCCGGGTTTATTGATTGATTATTGATTGATTTTGATGCAATATTTACACTGAAGCTCGCAGCAGGCGGCTATGGTAAGAGGCATGACATTTCCCGACCAGGCGCCGAGTGCTGGCAATCACAACACACACTGGCCCAGCAAACCAATCACAGCCCATTTGGTATTTCAGAAGGCGGGCCTTCATTTGATACAGGAACTATTCGAGCCATTCATGCCAGACTGGGGAGAGAGGTGTTGTAATAATGTAAAATATGTGAAAAATAATGTGTTTTTCGAACAACCTAGTATGAGAGCATGTTCTAGTACACCCCCAAAACAAAATCAAGACTTTGTAAAAGAGCATAATAGGACCCCTTTAAATTAATTTATTAAAGGTTTAAATGTCAAAACAACTGCAGTATCTTCCTCTAGGGGGCAGTAATACTGGAGACGAAGGTTTCGTTTTCGTTGTTTTCTTGAATTTTAATAGCGTGACTTCTGCATCTCTTTTGACAATGAAAACAACTGGAAAATGTTCTTTGAGAAATCTGTTACAAGACACGGCCTTTGAAGCTGAGGTAGAAGATTGTATTTATTTTAAACTAAATTATGTATTGGTTTCATTTTCTATAGCATGTGTTCAATTATAGTTCTGTGGCTAAAACCCACCATAAAACTGTTCTTCTAGGAATCAGTAACAAGACTCACCTTTTGAAGTTGAGATGGAAAACTATGCATTTTAAATTAATTTATTAAAAGTTTGAATGTCAAACTCAGTCTTAATAAATGCAACATGTTCCTCTAGGGGGCGGTGTACTGCACAATCTATGAAAGGCTTTGAGAGCTTTTTGCTCAATCCTTACATTTAAATAGCTTTTGCTGTGTTGCAGTTGCAGAAGAGCGTATTTATTTGAAATGAATAAGGTGGGAGAGAGCACTGTACATTCACTCCCCCCACCCACAATCCCTGCTGGTACGAGACTCTCTAACCATTAGGCCACGACTTCCCTCAGGCCACGACTTCCCTCTGAATAGATGTATTTGTTGCCATTTCAATATTGTGCATTGTGTTATAGTTCTGTGTATGTGACCAGCATGTAAATGTTGTTCTATCAACCAGTAACAAGACACACCCTTTAAAGTTGACATGTCAGACTTTGTGTAATTTTAATTTATTTATTCACATTTCTGAATATGAAACTCAGTCGAAGCAACTGCAATGTATTCCTCTTTGGGAAGCTTCCAGAGCTCTTTCTCAGCTTTTACAATTCAATAGCTTTTGTTGTGTTACACTTTTGGGAATAAAA